GCTCGGGACGCGAGCCCTGGCTCCCGGGGTAGCCCGGAGCTTTGCAACCTGCGTTACCTTGGACAGGTCCCGTGCCTGCCCCGGGTCCGTCACCAGTAAGGAGAGATTGGACTGCATGCCTTTCAGGCCATTGCCTCTTTAATCGTTAGTCTGTATCTGTAGAATGGGCCTGTAAGATTTCCTGCCTCCTGGGGTTAAAAGGATTCAATGGGATATAGCACCTGGAGGGAAGAATCTGCCGCCTTAAAGAGGTTGGGGGAACATCCCTGAGAATCTTTTCTTTTTCTTTGCTGGACCCTGGGGCAGAACCAGGGGAACTGCCCCCTCCTCCCAGGAGGCACTTGGCCTTGTCTGGGTGGAGAATGGGAAGGGAGAGGGGGACTGAGATGCCTGCCACCACCTTCCTGGCCAGGAGCTCAGGGGGCAGAGGGAAGCTTTCCCCATTGGGTGAGCAGGGTACCTGGGGCTCGGAAAAGGAAAGGGCCCGCCAAGGCGCATCCTGGGTGGACCCCGGTAGGTTTAGGCTATAGATTCCCAGGCCTTCCTCCCCACAGACCTCGGGCTCTCAGTCTGGGAAGGCTCAGGCCTGTGCTGGGGTCTCTGGAGTTTGGGAAGGTGGAGGGCAGGGGGCCCGGGGCTAGGACGGAGAGCAAGGCCACTAATCCCTTCAGCGGCCTGCAGGAGCTATCCGTCCACCGCTTCTAACAGGCTCCGTTCTGCCGGCTAGTGGCCCTGACCTGTTTGCTCATCCGTAAAGTGAGGATACCCCACCACGAGCTGGGCCAGCCAAAGGGGGCCTGAAGGGCACCTCGGTCCCNTCTCCTTCCGGGCCGGGGAGGCTGGGGCAGGGCGCCCGAGGCCAGGCCCCGGGCTGAGCGATGCTCCCCAACCCTCCGCCAGCGACCCGCGAGTCGGCCTTCGTGCACGCGATCGCCTCGGCCGGCGTGGCCTTCGCCGTGACGCGCTCCTGCGCCGAGGGCACCTCCACCATCTGCGGCTGCGACTCCCACCACAAGGGGCCGCCCGGCGAGGGCTGGAAGTGGGGCGGCTGTAGCGAGGACGCCGACTTCGGGGTGCTCGTGTCCCGGGAGTTCGCCGACGCCCGCGAGAACAGGCCCGACGCGCGCTCGGCCATGAACAAGCACAACAACGAGGCGGGCCGCACGGTGAGCCGCCGCCGCCGCCCTGTTGGGCCCCTGTCCCGGCCCCTTCCAGCGGCCCTGGCGTGGCCAGGGCTCCCCGACCTGCCTCTTTCCCCTTGGCCCAGCTTGGCCCCCACCCACACCCGGATTCACCGGTCTGTTGTCCCCCCCCCATCCTTGGTCTGCCCCGGGTCTCCGCCCGCCTGGGGGTGTGCTGGCCCGGTGGAGCAGGTCCCCGCACCCCGTGCGTGCGCTCCGGCTGCCCGTGCGGGCCTGGCTTTGAACCCAGCTTCCACCCCTTCCTGTGGTTGCTTGACTTAGGGCGAGACGCTTAAGCTCCCAGCCTCGGTTTTCCCATCCGTGAAACGTGGATAACCGTCCTTATTTGTTCCAGCTGTGAGAAATGGATGTGATTTGTGCCGATGCTTGGGGCGTGAAGGGGAGGGAAACCATCAGTAGTCACCCTTTGGGCCCGTGCCTCGGTCCTCAATCGGCTCTCGTCCTGGCACAGGGTAGGAATAGAGAAGGCGCCGGGCCGGGGCGGGGGGGCAGCGCAGGAGGGCCTAGGTGTGCGCCCAGGCGGGGTCAGCCTGGGGCCAGCTGCCGCTCCTCTTTCCCAGACCATCCTGGACCACATGCACCTCAAGTGCAAGTGCCACGGGCTGTCGGGCAGCTGCGAGGTGAAGACCTGCTGGTGGGCCCAGCCCGACTTCCGCGCCATCGGTGACTTCCTCAAAGACAAGTACGACAGCGCCTCGGAGATGGTGGTGGAGAAGCACCGCGAGTCCCGCGGCTGGGTGGAGACCCTGCGCGCCAAGTACGCGCTCTTCAAGCCGCCCACCGAGAGGGACCTGGTCTACTACGAGAACTCCCCCAACTTTTGCGAGCCCAACCCCGAGACGGGCTCCTTTGGCACCAGGGACAGGACTTGCAATGTCACCTCCCATGGCATCGATGGCTGCGACTTGCTGTGCTGCGGCCGAGGCCACAACACGAGGACCGAGAAGCGGAAGGAGAAATGCCACTGCATCTTCCACTGGTGCTGCTACGTGAGCTGCCAGGAGTGCGTCCGCATCTACGACGTGCACACCTGCAAGTAGGGAGCCAGGTAGGGTGGCGGGGCGGGGCAGG